ATGTTCAAATATACTTCATATATGCCAGCCAGTTCCATTGGTAAGATGAGAAGTAAACCTGTCATTTATATAGTCTAATATTTTGTTGGCGAAGTATCTTAAATATTGTCGCATTATTACAAATTCCCATCTGGGGAGGTCTCCATCCGTGCGTCACCTCTGATGACCCGCCTCTGGTGACCATCTACGTCATCACAGTTTAAACGTCACAAAGCAAGATGGCGGCGTAGGGATCGAGGTGATGGAACGAGTTAGGACAAAATTTGACGTGATTGTCTCTAGCCTAATTAAACAGATTCATTAAAAACTAATGGTTGCGAATTGTAGAGTGAGTGATAGCTAGAAAAGTTGCTAGAAAAGTTGGACCATGTCGACCAGAAATGTCCCTTTCCAAGTCAGGAGAAAGCTTCAATTATGTTTCAGCCTCTCGTGACCGCCCCTCAGATGAATGGGCAGGACCCTATTCAAAACTTTTTAATGTGCTGTAGACGTTTAGGAAAGTTTTGGACAATACCACAGTAGACCGAGGTGGAGTGCCGATGTGCCCATGTGGACGGTACCAAGATTCAATGCAGACCAGTCTCAGGGGTGCCAGAGTATACAGTGCAATTTTACGGTATACAGTGCAATTTTACGGAATACAATGCAATTTTACTAATGACGTTACCTGGGTCCGGCTTTCCAGGGACGCAGGAACACATCTTTCTGTGTTTTTCCAGCGAATTTGGACCTTTCTCTTAGATAGACCTTCAGTCAAATCGCTACATACTACCACGGAATAAAGTCCCCGCGAAAGTAAATAAATTTACAGTTAATAGGAAAATTGGGCAATAGTGATATGTTTCATACTGTGGCCACATAACAGTTTATTCTTGAAAACGTTTATTTGTGAAGATAGAAATACAATTTAAAGGTGCCCTCTAGTTGCATTTTCATCCATTTTTTACCCAGCTTGACATCAACGTTAGTATCCTTCGTAATTAGATAATCTACTCGTCCTTCTTCACCGAAACGGGCCGTCATTGGTCGTCATAATTAGATTATCAACTTCACATTAATTATGCACGGTCGTTCTGCGATCTTCTGCACACCTGTGTAAAAACAAGATTGGTATGGTCCATTCTAAATGGCGCTTTCGTACGACGGGAATACTCTGGGCTGATTTTTTCACAACTTTCTGGGTACTTTTAGACGTTTTCGTCGGTAGAATGTCTTAGTTGGTGTGCAGCAGAATGTCTGGGAGTGTTCGCCGAGGATTTGTACCGTTCTGGTGACGTTTTGAAGAGAAATTGCGGATTTCTTCACCTGGCGAATTTTATTTGGAGAAGACAAAAATGGCGAGACAGTTAGGAAGAGTAGCCTGGTATAGACGACTTCGATCATTGTTGCAGGTAAACCAGTACATTGTTTGGCTGACATTATTCCTGAGCAACTAGTGCGAACATGTCAAGTTATATTCCGTAAGAAATGACGTCGACCTATTTCTGTATTAGGGAGCGGCCGTTCCTAATTTTTAGACAGGCTTAGCAAAGTCTATCAAGTTGCCGCGTTTTCAACAACATTTTCAATGTGTGGTGCGCTTGCAGATTATATATAAAAGGTATGTGCATGTCTTTTTAGTCAGTTGTTAAGCGTTTTGAGGTTATATTTGTTGAAAGAAATTGTGTATCCACCAAACCTTTTTCTTTGTCTCCACGTGGTTCAAAACACCTGTTGGAATGTGGCCGTGTAACGTTACATATTCTTCCCGCCAAAAATTTGCGTAAACAAGATGGTGGCCTCAAAGCTTCAGGGCGCCGATACAAAACGGTTGAAAACTGTCGAGGTGACCATACTTTCGTTCTTCATTATCACATATATAAATTTAAGGTGTGTGTGTGCATTGCTAGTTTTTAATTTGAGAGAAGTGTTCAACTTATAATGTATGTATGGTTAGATGATGGCTGATGAAGTAGTGAGAACTTCTGTCTGAACCTGACAAGACAGATTGGATGAATGATTTGAAGACCGAAGAGGAATATCAGGTGAGGAAAATCTGAAATCTGCATTTTACCTACAGTTAATTTAAGTTGAGACAAGTGTGTATCTTCTAATGTCTGTATATAGTTAGGTGATGACTGATGTAGTAGTGAGGACTTATACTGTCTGAACCTGACAAGACAGATTGGACCAGACCAGATGATTTGATGACCCAAGAGGAATATCAGGTGAGAAAAATCCCAATTCTGCATTTTACCCACCATTCACTTGGTACTATTTTAGACAAGTACTAGGTGTGTGTAATTTGTAATGTCTGCATAGTTAGGTGGCTGCCGACTAATACAGGAGTGAAGATTACTGTCTGAACCTGACAAGAGAAGAATGGACCAAATGATTTGAAGGGGAATATCAGGTGAGAAAAATCTGAATTCTGCATTCTACCTACAACTATTTGGCATTACATGTACTTGAAGCAAGTGTATAACTTCTAATGTCTGCATAGTTAGGTGCCTGCTGACTGATACAGTAGTGAAGACTACTGTTTGAACCTGACAAGACAGATTGGACCACATCAGATGATTTGAAGACTCAGGAGAAATATCAGGTGAGAAAAATTCCAATTCTTCATTTTACCCACCATTTACTTGATATCATTTGAGACAAGTGTGTAATGTTTAATGTCTGCATAGTTAGGTGGCTGCCGACTTATAAAGGAGTGAAGACTACTGTGATGACCCAAGAGGAATATCAGGTGAGAAAAATTCCAATTCTGCATTTTAACTACCATTTACTTGGTATTATTTGAGACAAGTGTGTAACTTTTAATATCTGTACACATTGTAGTTAGTTTTGTAGTGCTGTTATATGTACATGTACTGTAGGTGGCTGCTGACAGATGAAGTAGTGGGGACTTACATGTAACTGCCTGTACCTGACAAGACAGATTGGACCAGACCAGATGATTAGAAAGACCCAAGAGGAATATCTGTTAGGTGAGAAAACTTCCAATTCTGCCTTTTATCTACAGCTATTTGATGTTATTTGAGACAAGTGTGTAACTTCTAATGTCCGTATAGTTAGGTGGCTGCTGACTGATGCAGTAGTGGTGAATTCTTCGTAAACCTGACAAGAGAAGATTGGACCAGACCAGACTGAAGACCGACGATGACTCTCAGGTGAGAAAAATCTTAATTTTGCATTCAACCTACTATTTACTTTGTTATTTGAGACAAGTGTGTAACTTCTAAAAATTTGTATAGTTAGGTGGCTCCTGACTGATGCAGTAGTGAAGACTACTGTCTGGACCTGACAAGAGAAGATTGGCCCAGATCGGGTGATTTAGAGACACAAGACAAGATGACAACAACAACATCCACAGGTGAGATAATGATTGCTTTTGAAGGATCTGTTTGACTCTAGCACTCTTCCCTTATACACTTTATAAAAATAACACACATGTAGCAAAACATCTTTCACATTAATTTTGTATTGCCTTTGACTTGAAAAAATGACTAGTATATTAGACTTCTTGTCTGAATGAGCACTTGTCAACATTTCTAGGAAGAGGCAAAGTAAAAGGTCGCATACAAGAGTTCATCTTTACCTGGTAGCTAGTTACCCATTCATATACAATAGCCATGTACCTGGCATCAATTGTTCTTTTATAATTATGTAGTTATAATTAGGGTCAGCAGTCCTGATGTTCCTGTACAAACCAGGCTAGATGAGACAGCTGACTTTGAAGTTGAAGACAGAGTGAAGAGTTTGTACAGGTGAGATATTAAATAAATGCTTTCCAACTTGATATAGATTTTTCCTTTCCTATTAATTGGATGTATTATTAAGAGCTGTGGCATAGCTTGCTACCAGTAACACTTTGAAAAGCTCAATCTTTTTGTGCATTGATTCAAGCACCTTGCTTGACAACTTACATGACTTATTTCTTGCCTCACATATGTTATTATTATTAAGAACTCTGAGGTGTAACATGCTACAAGTACAATACAATTTGTATCTAGACTCCTTTTCACATCTTCAAACGATTAGTCTGACAAAAGAGGTTACATTGTACAATGTCTCCAGTATAACCTCCTTGGTCCCACTTTTGGTCATTTGAGATACAGCATGTCACACTTTCTACACTGTGCTTTGGACTTTAACAGGCAGCATTTAGCTCCATTCTTACTGTCATAAACTTGCATGTTGTGTGACACAATATCTTGCATTAGTAAGGCCAATTGCTGCTGTCAATACAGTGACTTTTGTTTCTTTGCCTTCAAGATGTGGAACCGGAGACTGGACTGCAGCAGGAGGAAGAACCAGACTTTTGTAGGCAGGGCTGCGTGAAAGAAGATGGGGTGGAGTGAGTATGGTTTCTTTATTAACACGAGACAACACTCCACATGCACACACTTGCACTCACATTTCTCTTTTTTCATTTAACGTTTATTGTAGCCGGCGACTTCAATTTCATGTTAAGCAACACTGAAAAAATTCTTTATATTGTATGGTTGAATGCCAAATTGTCCCTTAATTGTTGCTTCAGACCTTTACACTCCCGCCGAAAGACTTCGCATCCAAGCCGGCTGCATGAATTCCAAATTGCCCCCAAAATTGTCATTTGGACCTTAATTAACACTTAAATTCACGCTCTAGACCTTTACACTTAAATTGTCCTGCCGAAAAACTTCGTATCTTAGCTGGCCGCATTAATTCCTTAGTCATCCTCTTCGTATCGTATGAATGCCAAATTGCCCCCAAAATTGTCGCTTTGGACCTTTCTTTACACTGAAATTCTCCTAGCAAAAAAAATTGTCTATCTCTGTATCAATTTCACACTAATTCCCTTGTTCAGTCCATTTTCCCGCCAAAAAAAAATAATTGGTACCCTCACCTGGTTAATTAATTGGATTAAGTTTTCCCGCCAAAAAACTTAGTATATAGACCACTCTAACCTTGAACTTGTGCCCCCCTCCCCACTCTTCCTGCCCACCTCCCACACTTCTTCCACAACTCAGAGTATGTTAGTTACAGTGTTCTCTGGACTTCCTCGAACATGTTGTCACCACACTCTGTTGATCCACCACTTAGACTTTAGAATAATCTCTCGCTCTTCTGGTCAGTCAATGCACTAAGTGTACTCCCCGGGGGATGTCTTTTCGGAGACATTGATGCTTCGACACATCAGTATACCAGTGCAATTGACCGACCAGAAGAGCGAGAGATTATTCTAAAGTCTAAGTGGTGGATCCACAGAGTGTGGTGACAACATGTTCGAGGAAGTCCAGAGAACACTGTAACTAACATACTCTGAGTTGTGGAAGAAGGGCAGGAAGAGTGGGGAGGGGGGCACAAGTTCAAGGTTAGAGTGGTCTATATACTAAGTTTTTTGGCGGGAAAACTTAATCCAATTAAGTAACCAGGTGAGGGTGCCAATTATTATTTTTTTGGCGGGAAGATGGACTGAACAAGGAAGTAGCGTGGAATTAATACAAAGACAAATTTTTGGCGGGAGAATTTAAGTGTAAAGAAAGGTCTAAAGCGACAATTTTGAGGGCGACGACAACAATGCAGCCGGCTGTAATACGAAGAATTTCAGTGGGAGAATTTAAGTGTAAAGGTCCAAAGCGAAAATTTTGGGGGCAATTTGGGATTCATACAATATAAAGAGGATAACAACGTGGAATTCATGCAGTTGGCTTAGATGCTAAGTTTTTCGGCGGAAGAATTTAAGTGTAAAGGTCTGAAGCAACAATTTGGCAACCATGCAATATGAAGAATTTTTCAGTGTTGCTTGACATGAAATTGAAGTTGCCGGCTGCAATAAACGTTAAATGGGTCCTCACGAAATAAGAGAAATGTGAGTGCAAGTGTGTGCATGTGGAGTGTTGTCTCGTGTTAACAAAGAAACCATACTTACTCCTCCCCATCTTCTTTCACGCAGCCCTGCCTACAAAAGTCTGGTTCTTCCTTCTGGTCCTGCTGCAGTCCAGTCTCCAGTTCCACATCTTGAAGGCAAAGAAACAAAAGTCACTGTATTGGCCTTACTAATGCAAGATATTATGTCACACAACATGTAAGTTTATGACAGTAAGAATGGAGCTAAATGCTGCCTGTAAAGGTCCAAAGCACAGTGCAGAAAGTGTGCACCAAACTTGACCTTCTGGTACCTTTGTTTGCCCTAACCCTAACCCTACCTTAAGGCGGCCCTTAAAACTTCAAAGGCTTATAAATCCCAAACCAAAGATAATAAATTGAAACGGTTTGCGGACCTTTCATACTGAGACCATTTCCTTTAAAACAACACCAAACTTGACCTTCTGGTACCTTCGGTTGCCCTAACCCTAACGCTACCTTAAGGCGGCCCTTAAAACTTCAAACGCTTTTCAATCCCAAACAAAAGATGATGAATGGAAACAGTTTGCGGACCTTTAATACTTAAGCCATTACCTTTCAAACGCCACCAAACTTGACCTTCTGGTACCTTCGGTTGCCCTAACCCTAACCCTACCTTAAGGTGGCCCTTAAAACTTCAAACGCTTATAAATCCCAAACCAAAGATGATAAATGGAAACAGTTTGCGGACCTGTAATACTTGGGCCATTACCTTTCAAACGACACCAAACTTAACCTTCTGGTACCTTCGGTTGCCCTAACCCTAACCCTACCTTAAGGCGGCCCTTAAAAGTTCAAACACTTAAAGATCTCAAACCAAAGATGATAAATGGAAAGATGATAAATGCGGACCTTTAATACTGAGACCATAACCTCTCAAACGACACCAAACTTAACCTTCTGGTTGCCCTAACCCTAACCCTAACCTTACCTTAATTTGGGAACAGAGTTGGTATACTGTACACAATGACCAGGTCCAGGCACCATGGATTGCTGGAAAAATAGTAGAAAATGGCCAAAATAAAGGGAATAGTATGCCGCAAAAGGGAGTTAGCCCGCTAGAGAGATACAATTTGCGACTCACGGGAGGAACCCATTTATCTTACATACCACATACCATCACAACAATTGGCCATTTTGCGTGAACATTTTGTAGTGCAATTGTTTTCAACGTATATTGGACATTGCACGCTTCAACAACGCTGGCTGTATAGAAGAATAATTTAGTTGAAGGAGTTTTTGCCGTTTTCAAGTTTGGATCGCTGCGCATCGGAGGGAAGAAAACAACCTTTTGCGGCCAGACTCCCCAGGCCAATTCTCTCTCCTTTTTTGCAGAATTCTACGATCCGTATTTTCGTAGAAAGACATGGTACAGTAATAGTATGTTGCTTCGTTCACAAAAGGACTCTCTGGCCACTATAACTACGATAATCATCTTTAAAAAATACACTATGCACACACACAACACCCACCAAAACAATATCACACTGTCGAAGGCATGTGCCCTCCGAACTCTAGTTGGGATTTTCTCACCTGATATTCCTCTTCGATCATCTGGTCCAATCTTCTCTTGTCAGGTTCAGACAGTAGTCTTCACTCCTATACAAGTTGGCAGCCACCTACATGTAACTATACATACATTAAACGTTACACACTTGTTTCAAACAATACCAAGTAAATGGTGGGTAAAATGAAGAATTGGAATTTTTCTCACCTGATATTCCTCTTGAGTCTTCAAATCATCTGATGTGGTCCAATCTGTCTTGTCAGGTTCAGACAGAAGTTCTCACTACTGCATCAGCCATCACATTAGAAGTTACACAAGAGCACACTTGTCTCAAATTAACTGTAGGTAAAATGCAAATTCAGATTGTTCTCACCTGATATTCCTCTTCAACTTCAGTCTTCAAATCATTGGTCCAATCTGTCTTGTCAGGTTCAGACAAAAGTTCTCACTACTGCATCAGCATCAGTCAGCAGACACCTATTATAAACTATACAGACATCAGAAGTTACACACTTGTCTCAAATAAGA